GTTTGTGTGTGGGATCGACCCTCAGGCTTGTTGACAGTGAGGCTCCACCCCGACATTACATGCAAGCTGCTGTGCAGGTGCTGATCACATGAAGCAGAATTCAATTCGGCAAGGTTTGGTGCCTGCCAAGATCTCCCTGTAGATATGCTGCTTTTGAAGATTATTGGATCCAGCTCTGTTATCTTAAGCTGGCCATTGAGTTTACAGGTTCTGGGTCTCTTCAGATGGACTTGTGCATATCAATATCAGAAACTTTCTGTGACTGGTCCTAGGGAATTTGTTTGAAGCTACCAGTGACCCACAGCTTATGGCTCACTCTGCTGGGTCTGGGTGTTTGTAGAAAGGACAAAGCTATGCACCAAGGTATGCTTTTACTAACATTAAGTCCAGGGGCATGTCAGCAAAAGTCTCAAGGCACTCATAGATCCACCTCTACCTGAAGGCTGTTATGCTTAGTCACTTAAAAGGCCTTTGGCTATCCTCATCAGCAGGGTATAAGCTCCTCAGGAAGAGGTGAGAGGGATTCCAATGGGTGGGTTATGGCTTCCACCCAGGCTGATGCTACATGGATTAGAATGCTCTCCCTGATAAAGGTGGCTTCTGCAGTATGTGGAATAACTCAGCACATTGACCCTGGTGGCTGTTCTCTCATCTCTCTCCCCAGAACCTCCAAACCCAGTCATTCCTCACTCAGGTCTAGTCTGCTCTGCTGTCCCTGTGCCAGAGCTCAGGTTGAGTGGCTGCAAATGAAATCTTATGTGTTGGCCCTTTAAGAGTATGCCTGCATTTCTAGCCATCTCTTCTGGTGAACAGAAATCCTGCTGCTTTTCACAGCCAGATATTATGTGGGTACCTTTTCTGGTTCTGGTACTCTGGGCTGGGGAGCTGAGCTTGGGGTTTAGGCACCACACTTCTCAGGGGTACCACCTGAAGCTGATATATCCCTCCAGAACTTCAGCTGCTACCCATGACTTCCTAGCCTGCACTCTCATGCCATTACACCTCCTACCCATCTCAATGTGGCCTCTCCTCTGTAAGTTTTCGGTTATCGCATATAAATTTTTGAACTACTTATTCTAGATCTCTGAAATACGCCATTGGTATTTTAATGGGAATTGCATCGGGTAGTATGGGCATTTTAATAATGTTATTTTTTCCATTCTATGAAAATGCAATTTCTTTCTACAATGTACTATAGTTTTCTGAGTACACGTCTTTTATTTCCTTGGTAAAACTTATACCTAGGTACCTTATAATTAAGGTTGCAATAATAGAATTTTGGTTGCAATAATAAATGAGATTGTTTTCTTAGTTTCTCTCTTTGATTAGTATTCACCCATTGAAAATGATATTGATTCTAAGTTTTTCATAAACGGCCTTTATTATGTTGTTGTATGGACACTTTATTCCCACTTTGCTGATATTTTTATTATAAATGAATGATGGATTTTATTGAATGCTTTTTCTACATCTATTGATATAACCACATGATTTTTATTTTTCATTTTTCTTATTTACTAACACTGTAGCAATCTTTCACTGGTGGAATAAATCCCATTTGATCATGCTGTACAATATTTTTATTGTATTTTTGGATCTTACTTGTTAATATTTTATTGTTAATTTAAGCATCTATGTTCATCAGGGTCATAGCATATAATTTTTTTTTCTCTGTAGTGTCTTTATCTGATTTTCAAATTAGTTTAATAATGGCCTTGTAAAAAGAGCATGGTAGTCTACCATAATCTTGAATCCTTTGGAATAGTTTGGGGAGGATAAGTGCAAGTTATTCTTTGAGTGTAGAATAGATGTCAGTTCTTTAAATGTTTGGTAAAATTTGCCTGTGAAGCTATGCGGTTCAGAACTATTGATTGCTGGGAGGTTTTTTTTTAAAAAAAATTATTATTTATTTATTTTAATTTATTTGCCAATTTACAATTGACATACAATAGTATATTAGTTTCAGGTGAACAACATAGTGATGAGACATTCATATAGTTTACCAAATGATCATTCTGGTAACTCTAGTACCCATCTGACACCATACAAAGTTATTACAACATTACTGACTCTATTCCCTATGCTGTATTTTACATCCTGTGACTATATTTTATAATTGCCAATTTGTACTTCACCTTTTTCACCCATCTTTCAAACCCTCCTCCCATCAATTTGTTCTCTGTATCTATGAGTTTGTTTGTGTTTTGTTTGGTTGTTTATATTGTTGTTTAGATTCCACATATAAGTGAAATCATACAGTATTTGTCTTTCTCTGTATGACTTATTTAACTTAGTATAGTACTTTCTAGGCTGCCATCCATGTTGTCAAAATGGCCAGATTTTATTCTTTTTTATGGCTGAGTAATATTTTGTTGTATATATGAAATCCTTCATTGGTTTTAGATGTTACAGATAGCTTCTCCTATTTCAAAAACAACCCATTAATTTTGCCTATGGGATCTTTTCTTGATTAGAAATCCTTATTTTTGATGTAACCAAACACATACAATTTTACCTCATGTTTGTGCTTTTTAAATTTTGTTTTAAAAGAGGTTCTCTGAATCACAAAGACATTTTCCTGTACTTAATTCTACTATTTTTCTTTTTTAGTTTAATTTTATTGTTTAAAGTATTACAGATAGTAGTACATATGTCTCCCTTTTCTTTTCCCCATTGACCTTCCCCCGGCCTCCCCCACCTGCTGGCACATGCCCTCACCTCACCGTTGCGTGTCTTGTGTCCATTGGTTATGCTTATATGCATGCATACAAGTCCTTTGGTTAATCTTTTACTCCCCCCAACAACACTACCCAGACTTCCCACAGTAATTGAACAGTCTGTTCAATGCTTCTCTGCCTCTGCATGTATCTTTTTGTTCATCAGGTTATAAAGTTCTTTATTATCCATAAATGAGTGAGATCATGTGGTATTTTTCTTTCACTTCCTGGCTTATTTCACTTAGCATAATGCTCTCCAGTTCCATCCATGCTACTGCAAATGGTAAGAATTCCCACTTTTATAATAGCAGTGTAATATTCCATTGTGTAGATGTACCATAGTTTTCTAATACACTCATCTGTTGCTGGGCATTTAGGCTGTTGATTAGTGACTTTGAGCATGTTTTCATGTGACTGTAGGCTTACTTAGTGTCCTCTTTCGAAAAGATTCTATTTAAGTCCTTTGCCCATTTTTTGATTGGATTGTTTATTTTCCTTTTTTTTAGTTGTATGAGTTCCCTATAATTGTTGGAGATTAAGCCCTTATCAGAGATAACATTGGCAAATATGTTCTCCCATACAGTGGCCTTTCTTGTTGTTTTGTTGATGGTTTCTTTTGCTGTGCAGATGCTTTTTATTTTGATGTAATCCCATTTGTTTATTTTCTCCTTAGTCTCTCTTGCCCTACAATCTATGTCTGTAAAGATATTGCTACGACATATGTCTGCAATATTGCTGACGATGGACTCTTGTAAGATTTTTATGGTTTCCCATCTTACATTCAAGTCCTTTAGCAATTTTGAGTTTGTTTTTGTGTTTGGTGTAAATTCGTGATCTCGTTTCTTTTTTCTTTTTTTTGCATTTATCTGACAAAATTTCCCAGCACCATTTATTAAATAGGCTGTTTTGACTGCAATGCATGCTCTTGCCTCCTTTGTCGAACATTAATTAAATATAATGGCTGGGTCAATTTTTGGTTCTTCTATTCTGTTCCATTGGTCTATAGGTCTGTTCTTGTGTCAGTATCAGACAGTTTTGAGAACCATGGCTTGGTAATATAGTTTGATGTCTGGTATTGTGATACCTCCAACTTTGTTCTTCTTTCACAGGATAGCTGTGGCTATTTGGGGTCTTTTTTTATTCCAGATGAATTTTTGGAGAGTTTGTTCTGGATCTTTGAAATATGCCATTGGTATTTTAATAGGTATTGCATTGAATCTATAGATTGCTTTAGGTCAGTGGTTGGCAAAATGGCCCCTTGAGTGTGGCTCTTCTACAAAATACCATGTGTGGGCGCACATGTACAGTGCGATTGAAATTTCGTGGCCCATGCCACAGGGACAAAGAGCCGCATGTGGTTTGCAAGCCGTGGTTTGCTGACCACTGCTTTAGGTAGTATGGACATTTTAAAGATGGTGAGTTTACCAATCCATGAACATGATATGTTCTTCCATTTGTTTATGTCTTCCTCTATCTCCTTTTTCAATGTCTTATAATTTTCCGAGTACAGGTCTTTTGCGTCCTTGGTTAAGTTTATTCCTAGGTATCTTAACATTTTTGGTGCAATGGTAAATGGGATTTTTTTTTTTCATTTCGCTTTCTGTGAATTCATTATTGGTGTATAAAGAGGCCATAGATTTCTGGGTGTTAATTTTATATCCTGTTAAATTGCCAAATTCATGGATTAGGTCTAGTAGTTTTTTGATGGAGTCTTTGGGTTTTTCTATGTATGATATCATGTCATCTGCAAATAACGACAGTTTTACTTCTTTTCCAATTTGGATTCTTTTTATTTTTTCTTCTTGTCTGTTCGCTATGGCTAGTATTCTAGTGCAATGGTAAATGGGATTTTTTTTTTTCATTTCGCTTTCTGTGAATTCATTATTGGTGTATAAAGAGGCCATAGATTTCTGGGTGTTAATTTTATATCCTGTTAAAGTGCCAAATTCATGTATTAGGTCTAGTAGTTTTTTGATGGAGTCTTTGGGTTTTTCTATGTATGATATCATGTCATCTGCAAATAACGACAGTTTTACTTCTTTTCCAATTTGGATTCTTTTTATTTTTTCTTCTTGTCTGTTCGCTATGGCTAGTATTCTAGTACTATGTTGAACAGGAATGGTGAAAGTGGGCATCCTTGTCTTGTACCTGTTCATAGGGGAAATGGATTTAGTGTTTGCCCATTGAGTATGATGTTGGCTATAGGTTTATCATATAAAGCTTTTATTATGTTGTGGTCTGATCCCTCTATTCCCACCTTGCTGGGAGTTTTTATAAAGAAAGGGTGTTGGATTTTGTCAAATGCTTTTTCTGCAGCAATTGATATGATTATGTGATTTTTCTCTCTCAGTTTGTTTATGTGATGTATCACATTAATTGATTTGCAGATATTGAACCATTCTTGCATCCCTGGAATGCAAGAATGCAATCCCAGTTGGTCATCTTTCTAATGTATTGTTGAATCCGATTTGCTAGGATTTTAGCATCTATGTTCATCAAGGATATTGGCCTATAGTTCTCTATTTCTGTGGTGTCTTTATCTGGTTTTGGGATTAGGGTAATGCTGGCTTCATAGAAAGAGCTTGGAAGTGTGCCTTTCTCTTGAATTTTTTGTAATAGTCTGAGGAGGATAGGTTTTAGTTCTTTGAATGCTTCATAGAACTTCCCTATAAAGCCATCTGGGCCAGGGCTTTTGTTTGCTGGAAGAGTTTTGATCACTGTTTCAATTTCTTCAGCAGTTATTGACCTATTCAAGTTTTTTGACTCTTCTTGGTTAAGTTTTGGAGCCCATATTTTTCTAAGAATCTGTCCATTTCACCTAGGTTGTCCATTTTGTTGGAATAGAGTTTTTCATAGTATTTTTTCATAATCATTTGTATTTCTGTGGGATCGGTTGTTACTTCACCTCTTTCATTTTTGATGTTGTTAATTTGGGTCATCTCTCTTTGCTTCTTGGTGAGCCTGGTTAGAGGTTCATCAATCTTGTTTATCCTTTCAAAGAAACAGCTCTTGGTTTTGTTGATCTTTTGTATTATTTTTTTGGTCGCTATGTCGTTTATCTTCGCTCTGATCTTTCTTATTTCCTTCCTTCTGTTTACGTTGGGCTTTTCTTGTTGCTGTCTTTCTAACTCTTTGAGTCATAGGGTTAGATAACTTATTATGATTGTTTCTTCTTTTTTGAGGCAGGTCTGTGGGCCTATGAACTTCCCTCTTAAGAATGCTTTCACTGTGTCCCATAAATTTTGGATTGTTGTATTTTCATTGTTGTTTGTTGCCATGATGCTTTTTATTTCTTAGTTAATCAGTCTGGTAACCCAATCATTGTTTAATAGCATGCTATTTAGCCTCCAGGTGTTTATGTTTTTATTGCTTTTATTGTAGTTGATTTCTAGTTTGATGTCATTGTGGTCTCAGATGGTGCTTGATATGATTTCTATCTTCTTGATTTGAAGAGGCTTTGATTGTGACCCAATATGTGGTCTGTCTTTGAAAATGACCCATATGCACTTGAAAAGAATTCATATTCTGTGGCTTTGGGGTGAAATGTTCTGAAGATGTAAATTAATTTCATCTTATCTAGTGCATCATCTAGGATTGATGTTTCTTTGCAGATTTTTTGTTTAGATGATTTATCCAATGGTGATAGTGGGGTATTAAAGCCCCCTACTATGACTGTATTTGTATCAATCTCTCCCTTGATAATCTCCAAAAGTTTTTTTTTATGTATTCGGGTGCTCCTATATTCAGTGTGTATGTGTTTACCAGAGTTATATTTTCTTGTTGGATTGGTCTCTTTAGTATTATGAAGTGGCCTTCCTTATTTCTTATTATGTCCTTCACTTTGTGATCTTCACTTATATCACTTTTCTGATATAAGAATTGCTACCTCCATGGTTGTTTTTTTTTTCATTTCCATTCGCCTGAAAAAAATCTTTTTTTATCCCTTCAGCATCAGTCTGTGTGAGTCCTTTTTTCTGAGGTGGGTTTCCTGTTGACAGCAGATATATAGGTCATGTTTTCTTATCCACACAGCTACCCTAAGTCTTTTGATTTGGTAATTTAATCGACATTTAAAGTTATTATTGCTAGGTACTTGTCACCATTTTTATTCTTTATGACTCTGTTCCTTCTTTGTTTCCTATTTTTCTTTTTACAGCAGAACCATTAGCATTTCTTGCATTGCTGGTTTGGTGGTAATAAACAGCCTTAGTCCTTTTTTGTTTGGAAACTCCTTATTTCACCCTCAATTTTGATTGATAGGTTTGCTGGGTACAGTATTCTTGGATTCAGACCCTTCGTTTGCATGACTTTGTATATTTCATTCCATTCCCTTCTTTCCTGGTGTGTTTCTGTTGAGAAATCAGTTGCTAGCCTGATGGGGAATCCTTTGCAAGTAACTTTCTGTCTCTCTCTGGCCATTTTTAAGATTCTTATTTTGTCATTTGTGTTTCCCCATTTTATTATAATGTGCCTTGGCATCAGTCTTTTGGGGTTCATTTTGTTTGGGGCTCTGTGAGCTTCTTGGATTTGTGTGAGCTGTTGTTTTTTTCCCCCCTATATCAGGGAAGTTTTCTGTCATTATTTCTTCAAACATGTTTTCTATTCTGTGCTCAGCTTCCTCTCTTTCTGGCACCCATATTATGCGGATGTTTTCACCTGAGAAAAGAGAATTAGGAGATAAGAAAAGAAAAAAAGTGCAATGATATTGAGAAAAGAAAAAAAAAAGTTAGTGAGAGAAAGAATAGAATAAATAAGAAGTGTGGGGGGGAACTATTTATATGGGGGTCCCTTAGGCTCTCCTCCTGTTTTTTAAGTTTTGTTTTTTTTCTTGATGCTGCTCTGCTTGGGTATTTTTTACTACATTGTCTCTTAGCTCATTGATGCAGTCCTCTGCTTCTTCTAGTCTACTGTGGATGTTTTCTATTGAGATCTTTATAGCAGTGATGTCATTTTCCATTTCTTCTTGGTTCTTCATTTCCTCTTGGTTCTTACACATTTTGTTGAATTTGTCTTTCATTCTTTTCATCCACCTTATGACCATTTCTCTGAATTCTTTCTCTGACATTTTGCTTGCCTCCTTTTCGTTTACTTCCTTTTCTGGTGATGCATCTTTTTCTTTCATTTGCGGGCTGTTTCTTTGTCTTCCCATGATCTCTCTTCTCCAGGTGTATGGGTATGTAGCTCTCTCTCTCCTGCATTGATTTAAAGGCATAAAATACAACACAACAAGGCACAATGCAAAAGGCACTGAACACAAATGTATTCACAATACTAATAACCCCAAATAAAGATAACCACCTGAGAAAAGAGAATTAGGAGATAAGAAAAGAAAAAAAGTGCAATGATATTGAGAAAAGAAAAAAAAAAGTTAGTGAGAGAAAGAATAGAATAAATAAGAAGTGTGGGGGGGAACTATTTATATGGGGGGAAAACTCCAGTAGAACAACAACTAATCCCAAAAAATGCAAACAGCAAACACTCAGAGTTGAATGTAAACTACAAACAACAACTAATAACAAGAGAGGAGAGGAAAAAACAGAAGCAAAAAATAAAGACAAAAATAAAACAACAAAAGGGGAAACAATCTCAAAACAAGCAAAAAAAACCAATCTAATCAACAATCAAGCAAACAAGAACAATAAGACAGAGAGAAAGCAAGGCAAAACAAAACAAAACAAAAAAAAAACATTGTACAAAGAAAACAAAATAACAACATTAAAAAAAAAAACCAAAAAAAAGGGAAGAGAGAAAAAAAATTGATATTTAAAAAAGCGAAGAGAGAGGTGTGTATGGACTTGGAGCAGTGGATTGGAAATTAGATTTACAAGTAGGATGAATTTTTAACAGGTGGTAGAAAGAAGGAATAGGGAAAATCTAACGCAGGAATAGAGTAAGAGAACAGGGAAACAAAAGGGAAAAAGTAAGGGGTGGAGTGTTGGCATAAAGGTAAAGTTGAGATAGAGTAAAATGATGCTAAAGGAAAAATAAAAATAGAATGTAGAACATTAATTCCAAAATAAAATAAAGAGAAAATAAAATGACACTTAAAAAAAAAAAGG